GACAGCACTTTAGCACTCTGCTTTGTCACCATTTTAAACAAGTACAAACATCAAAACACATAGTGCTAAATAGACTATGAAAAGGATCATTGTTTATAGCATGAAAGCTAAAACAAGAAAGCAGGGCATCACCTTGTTCAACCTCAACAGGGAATATGTCCACAAATGACCACAAAAATGCAACAAATATTGATTTGAGGATCACAAATAAATTTTAGCAAGTAGGCAAATTCACAAATGAACTCTTGTGGAGTTTCCTACAGGAAAGGAAAGAGGCACTGGAGAGTAGAGAAGGATATATAGCGTGTCCAAACTGATGGTTCTAAGATAGCCTCACAAAGTTTACTTGATCCCAGTATGCAGGTAGCAATGCTTTCCCATGCATGGTATAGGGGCTCAGAAATAGCTAACATAGAGTCAATGAAGGCACGCCCTGCATCTGAAGAAAGAAGAATGCAGCAATGTATTACTATATGACTAGAGGCCCTGTGCACAAAATTCATGCATAGGGGGTGGGGAGGAGTCCCCTCATCCCAGCCTGCATCCTCTCTAATCCGGGACCCCTTGGGGGATGTCCAATCCTGGGGATTGGGCCTAAACCGGCAGTCGGACATCCCTCTCACAATCTGGGACCACTGGCTCCTAACTGTCACCTGCCTGCCTGCCTGATAGCCCCATGCTCCCCCCCCCCGCCAGCCTGATCACCCCTAACTGCATCTGCCTGCTGGCCTGGTTGCCCCTAACTTCCCCCCCTGACGGCCTGGTTGCCCCATGCAACCTGCTGTTCGGTCGTTACTGTTACTGTGATGGCGTCCCGGACAAGTTGCACAATCCTCTATTATTAGTATAGATTATCACACCAGACAGGACTAAGGACACCCCAGTGGATACCAGAGTCCACAAATAGCATAAAAAGATCAGATCCTCCTGCCTTCACATTCCCACCCCACCTATGCTCCCACGCCAAGGCACTCCATAAGCTTGTTGGAAATTGGATACAGCCCTCAAAGGGGGAGATTCTCAATTGATTGAAATTGTACTCAATGCACTGAAAACCCCTTAAGTTGACTCAGGTTTAGTTTCTGCTTAAAATAGAAATAATCCTAAATATTGAAGCATCTTGTGTTCTTACTGAAGAAATTGGGTCATTTTAGGATTTAACACATATTTACTGCTATACCCATAAAGTGAAAAATACCACATCAGTATGTTACATCCTAGATAGACACTAAGATAATCACAACAGATAAATATGAGATAACCTATAATATGCATGGATACCTTGGCACAGGTAAGGATTATAGAAATTGAAAGGAGAAAAATACTACTCTGAATGTTAACACATGAGAAAACCACAGGGGAGGAAGGATAATTTGATTATGTAATAAAGCACAAGAATGGATGGTTTGCATAAATAAGGAGAAAAAGCAGGAAGGTATTTTACATGTGGAGAATGCAAGAGTAGGTTGAACAGTAACAAATCCCTAAAGCGTACCTGGAGGGAAATAAGTGGATTGGTTTAAGTAAAGTAGAATGCTAATAAAGAATAGTGAGAGAATACAACATGACAGGCTTAACAAAAGAATCCATTGAACTTGGTGAATGACTCCCTATGGGGAAAAAGCATGAAAAGCATAATAGATGAATCAAGTTTTGAAGTTGGAGAGTGAAAATTGTGGTGCCAATAACAGTAGTAGGGAAACTAGAGCAGAACTAGTTTGAGGCAAAATAAACAGTGAGTTTGAGGTGACAGTGTGACATCCCAGAAGAAATGACAAACAAGCAGTTGAAGTTATAAAGTAGGATATTAGAGGAGAAGCAGAATTGGAAATGTATATTTGATAAATATCAGTACTAAGATTAATCATGGTAGCCTGTGAGTGGGTGACTGAAGTGATGTATTGAGAGAGAAGAGGTGGGGGAGGAAAAGTTTCCACAAAGAAAACAAAGAAGGAGCAGTCTGGGAGTAGAAACATACCTATTATCCCAGGAGAAGAGCAAGAAGAAAAATTCAAGAGTTTATGATCCACTGTGTCAATTGCTACATGGGATAAAAGTTAGATAGAGGACTGAAGCAATTCAGCTGAGTTTGGTGACAAGCAATTTATGCTTGAGAGAGCAATTTTAGGAAAGTGGTTGAGGTGAAAGAAAGAATGTTTTCAAGAATGGGTTCAAGAGTATATGGAGGGGAATGGAGATAATGGCCATTGATCATTCTGAGAGAAAGAAATCTTGAAATTACTAGGTTTGCAGCATCATCAAGGAAAATGATGGGGAAGTGTTTCATTTTGTTTTCTTTTTTAAGGTTTCTGCACACAAAGAAGAGGGTTCCAATGGAAAAAGATCAAATGGAGATTTAAGAAAATGATGGGGATGACACTGGGAAGGCTTATTCATAACAAGATCTAAATCATATGGTTCTTGTTTTGTCCCAGACACTGTTCTCAGTGATTTGCACATATTAGTACACTTTAACCTCCTAATAGTCTAATAAGATAGATACTATTATCATCCTCATTTTATTGATCAATAAATAGAGGTACAGGGAGGCTAAATAACTTACCCAATATCACCATCTGGTGGGAGTGAGGTCAATAAATGAATGCAGACATACAGACATCATGCTCTCATTCACTGGGCTAAAGATTAAAGAGTAATGCCTCCCTTTATGAGACTGGAGAAAAGAGAGGATATACTGGCTTATTCTAAGATGAAAAGGTAAGTACCTGAGCATAAATGGTATGACATCATATGATAGAGCTCTATCTTGAAAGTAGGAGAAGAGGGTAGGGATTAGAGTAAGGATTTAGGAAACATGGAGCCTGATGAAGATTTAAATGAGAGAAGCGCACACTACAGACTCAACAAGAGAATAAAATCTGTTTAACACTTTCTGTAGACCCAGTTGAGGAGGGACCATCAAAAATAGTTAAGCCAAATTCATTGTGGCTCTCCTGGGGGAATGGTGGGAAGATTAGAATTTGGAGACAAGCCTAGCTGGTAAAGCTGTAAAGTTAGGCCTATGAATGACATTATGGTACTGGAGAAAAGTTAATTTAGATGCAAGATTATGTTTTATAATGGCAGGCAAGAACTTATTTCAAGTAATAAAGATAAGTCTTGATAACTTAGTATGCTCTTGGACAATATTTATAACACAGGTTGGTAAAAATAGATATCAAATTGGGTAATCTATATTATAAAAACCCAGTGGCCCTAAGGCCATAACGACCAAAGACCAGTGCGGGTGGGCAGGGCTGCGTGCATTGGTGGGCGGGGTTGCGCGATTTTGCGCTGGGCTTCTAGTTTATATATATTTAATAGGAACAATTGAAGTATAAGACTAAGCAATTTAATCTTCCATCAAGAAATATTATCTTATTATATTATTATTATTTCAGATATAAATGTTTCTTTATTCAATATCAATAAATCTCAGACTCTGAAAGACAAATTTTATTATGAAGATTGTGTAGACTGACTATAATTGTAAAACCTCAAATGATTTTTCTCATATTGTTTTTCACAGTCTGACCAAGCACAGGCTAACATATGGATTAAATATGGTCTTTATCCTTGCTGAATAGCTCCAGAAAACACCACCAAAATATTTTTTAAAAGAACTATTTAATGCAATCAATGCATATAAAATATAATTATAACCCAATCATAGATGGCAACTTAAAGAAAATGGTATGTTATTAGTAGAATTATCAACTCTATTTAATAGCTAAATGCATTTCATAGATGTTAGTAAGCATTAAATCTGAAAGAATTTTAAATAACATACAATCATTAAAAATAATATATTTTCTCTGAAATACTTTTTTCTACATCGAGTTGGAAACAAATAAAGCTCATAAAAATGTCATTCTGAACTTTGCCCAAAAATATTTTGTTTGTGGAAAATGATTATTTAGAATGTTTAATTCAGGGTTCATCATTCAGTTGTGATAGATGCTATTAAATATAAACAGCACATTTTTCCTCATATAGTTGTGTTTACTTTTTAGATAATTCTCTGTGTTTAAACTGGGCTTATGAACTTTTTTTTTTTAACAATTCAGGGCCCAAGTAATATTGTTCCACTGCATTCTGGAATATATGGCCTTGACTGCTTTTTAAGTATAGAGGTATATTCCTAAGTTATAGAGAATTTGCCAAATAAATGCTTTTAAACAAGATTTTGAATTTTTTAAAAAACATGTAATTGCAGGGTGATTTTGACAAGTCAATTCTTTCAGGAAATGTTCAGGCTCTGAGAGTTTGTACGTGCGAGGATGACCTTCCAGTAATGCACAAAAGAGCAAAGGGCACTTATATGTAAGCCTGTGTGGTATTGGCCCCTTGCTTCTAATAGAATCTTTATGATTGTGTTCCAAAGCCACTATAAGTATTTTGCTTGTTTTTAAAATATATGTGCATAGTTTTAGGTGCTGAACACCTCATTATTGTTTATATCCCCTCAGTACAAAGTATGAGGCAGTTAGACACATTTTACAGATACCTGCTGAAATTCTAAAGTATTTCTTTGCCCATTGAGTGCAAGTGTAAGTGCTTCCTCCTCAAGGCATTGTAAATTAAAGAAGCTTTTTAAGAACATTAAACTAAGATCAGAAGATAAATTAATAATAGGATATCCTCAAGGCATTGTAAATTAAAGAAGCTTTTTAAGAATAAACTAAGATCAGAAGATAAATTAATAATGGGATATTGTAAGGTTTTAGAAAATTTCTTGGGATTTCCACCCTAGGTTAGAACAGGAAACAACAAGGAATGCAAATAAGGAAATGACTTTGAAAGGAAAAACAAATATTGAATAATTTCCCAAGGTTAATTACAATCTTTTTGTAAGGACATGTGCCTTAATATAAATATTTAATACTCTTAATATATTTAAATATTCTTAATATATGTTTCCTCCACACTTAAGTTTTAAAGTTAAGCACAAAGAAGGTTCACAGCACAGAATAGTTCCCATTTCAGCGGGGGATTCTCACCTTGTTATATGCGTTGTGACTAAACAGGGTGTGGGAATTCTCCTGTTCGTCAGACAGTGAGAAGGAGGACAAATGACTGAAGGGTCCTGGGGTAAGACAGTCAGCATGTGAGAGGGTCTGTGGATGCAGCAGGGACTTAGCAGGAGGATAGAGTCTAGTCTGATACAAAGGATGGAGAGAAACAGGCTTGTGAGGGACTGTCACATCCTGAGAAGAAGAAAGGCATAAAGAGTATGTTAGTGGACAGAAGTCAAACTCACTTGGAATTAAGTCTAAATATTATAGATGCTATGTCAGAATTTCTTACTAGTAAGAAGAAACCCTCATACTCAGGTCCCTTACAAGGCATCTGCTTCCATAGTGTATTGTTGTCTCCTTCAATAATTCCTGTCTATCTCCCACCCCTAGCCACTTCTACAGAACTCAACACATGCCTTCAGCATCTCCTAAAGTATGCCAAGTTTGTAATCTTTGAAAGTACTGAGAGGGGAGATGTTTAAGGCAGAAGAGAGCTTGTCCCAAAAGGGGTAGATGGGATTAGAAAGCATTTGCTGAAGATGTAGGCAACAGTGGAAATTAATTTAAAGGTGCTTGCGATTGGTTCGGGAAGAAATTGGGGGAAAAAGGGAAGAGCACTGCAGAGGATATTAATGTGTGATCAGGGGCAAAAATACTGGTTTAATTCATGGTACAGTAAGTTGTTGAGGTGGGCTGAGTATGAACGAGGGATTAGGCAGAGGTGAGTCTAGAATGAATGAATGAGGTCTTTAATTCCAAGCAATGTGTTGTTATGGAGAGAAAGTGAAGTTAGAGCAAACAGATGAGTTCAGCTGTACAGAGGAAAGTTAATGAGGTCTAACTTGAGTGGTTCTTTAACCAGGAAAAGGGACTAATGCAAATGACTTTGAGGAAATAGGAATTACCAGATGAGGCCATGGATTACATGAAAGGAGCAAGGAAACCATGGGTGGGAAGTCTTGAACCTACAAATTAAAGTTACAAAGAGGGTCTCTCTAATACCTATAAAAGAGAAGGGCTACATTTTTAAAAATATATTTTATTGATTTTACAGAGAGGAAGGGAGAGAGAGATAGAGAGTTAGAAACATCGATCAGCTGCCTTCTGCACACCTCCCACTGGGGATGCGCCCACAACCAAGGTACATGCCCTTGACCGGAACCGAACCTGGGACCTTTCAGTCCGCAGGCCGACGCTCTATCCACTGAGCCAAACCAGTTACAGCAAGAGAAGGGCTACTTTTTTGCAGATATATAAGTTCCTCTTATATTTCAAGCTGAATCCATTTTGCCAAAACCATGTATTGTTAAACCATTGAACCATTGACTGGTTTTCTAAAATTTATGCTGAATGTGTTGGCTGTATCAATAGATGTACCCTCCTACCACCCCCCCTTTTTATATATTTTTTATTGATTTTAGAGAGGAAGGGAGAGGGAGAGAGAGATAGAAAAACCAATGATGGGAGAGAATCATTGATCAGCTGCCGCCTGCCACTGGGGATCAAGCCCGCAACCCTGGCATGTGCCCTGACTGGGAATAAAACAGTGACCTCCTGGTTCATGTGTCAATGCTAAACCACTGAATCACGCTGGCCAGGATCCTACCCCCCTTTTTAAAGCAACTGATTCAAAACTTACTTTGCAAACTAAACTTTCAGAAAATTTAAACTAAACTCTCAGAAAATTTAAACATTATAATTCTAATGTATTTGTTTGTAGAATTAAGGGATTTAAACCCTCTGTACCTTGAAACGGTGACTGTGTTTTATTTTTATTAGGTTCTTTTATGCTCAAGTGTTTATTTTACATATTTGAGAAAATACAAATAATTTCACACATACACATGAAAAGCATACATTATTATAAAAAAAAGATAGCACCCTATGTACAATAGCCTGTATTTTATTTGTTTGGATTTTTTTCCATTTAACAGCTTTGGAATACTTCTATGTCAGAACATGAAAGCTTTAGATTTCCTACTGAGACACATTACTGAGTTATCAAACTGATTATAATTGTCATTCCGTTGATTCTCTCAGAAGCTCGAGTTAAATCAACTAAAGTATTAAATCACATACCTTAGTAATAAATTTACCTCCTCTTTGCCAGTTCTTATATTTTTTATTCCTTTCTTTTGTATAATTCTGTTGGCTCATACCTCTAATATTATAAAACAATAGTCATGTTAGTGTGCAACATTAACAGACTACTGATAGTTTTGCCCATTAAAGATGGCTTTTAGATTGAAAGATGTTCTAATGTTGTTTTCATTTCTCAATCAGCTATTCCATTATTCAATCAACAACTAATTACATTTCTTAACCAGTGCGAAAAGTGATTAATATGAAAACTGAATAGCAAGCACAAGCCTAGCTGTGTAAGAGAAAGGCAGCATCTTGAGGTGAAGGTGCCTACAAAATGATGAGCTGAACAGAGTCTCTGGTTTATATTCTGGCTTCAGCTTTTCTTGCAGAGTTTAAGAACCCATTCTGAAAATGTCAGGAGACAAGCCTGTCGTGATCCATGGAGGGCCGAGGGTGTCCTATATGGGGGAGTCTGACAGGGTTGAAGTTGAACCAATTAGGAGGAGCTGTGCTGTTGTGGTGAGTTGTGCTGTTGTTGTTTTTTTCTTGTAAGCTTGCTGTAGCCAACCTCCATCTCTTCGGAGTCAGTCAAACCTGAACACATCTATCTATAGGTAAGGTCAGACAGTGTCAGCTACTCCAGGTAGCTGGGCAGAGAGGAAAACAGAATTTTATCCACACTTGGAAAAGCTAAAGAGAGCTATGAATCTTGGCCAGGCTCGTTTGAGTTCTATCTGGTTGACTCTACAGGACAAAAGTGAAAGGATCCTTGGTAGCGACAGCCTCAACATGGACATCCTGTTCCAATATGTGCTAGTTGTCTTCTACGCTTTGTGTAAGTTCCTATCCTGTGATTCTCTTTTTTAAAATACTTTTATTAATTTTAGAGAAAGAGGGCAAGAGAGAAGCATTGATTGATTGCCTCCCACACACACCCCCACTGGGGAATCGAACTGGAGACCTTTTGGTGCACAGGACAATGCCTAACCAACTGAGCCACACCAGCCAGGGAATCCTATTCTCTTTACCAAAATCCTGGGAACTTTCTTTTCCTATCTCCTGTGTTCACTCTCCTCTTTCCAGGGTCCCCTATCTTTCTTTTTCTTGGTTTCTCTCATATATACTGGGCCCTAAAGGAGCTTCCTGGGGGAAATGGAGCATTAGAAGTAAAACTTTTACATTTTGCAGGTTAAAATTTTTCTTCTGCCCTTACTTTTAAGTTTTTGGATATAGAATTCTAAGCAATATTATTTCCTTCAGAACTTTGAAAGCATTGCTACACTGGAACAGTGTTACTATCCTGTTACTATTTTATTCATTTGTTTTTAAAAAATTTTATATAGATGATTTCTACAGCTTTTCTGTTTTCCAGTTATCTTTTGTCATTTCTAATAAGATCCTTTGTTTTCCTTTTCTCATGCACAGAAAATTTTATTTTTAAAATAACAAAATATTTGCTATTATTTGCTCTGCTAAATATTTGTTTACTTTTATTCTTTTATTTATTTATTTAGCATACTTAGGTTCATAAATATTCTTCCAATGACTGTTTTAACTGTATCTCATAAGTTCTAATAAATAATAATTATATTTTATTTTCCAGGTAGAAATTTATTTTGAATTTCCTCTTTAATCAAATAGTTTGATCTACTTTAGATGATTATTTTCCACATAGTTATCATAAATTGAAAAAATGACAAAGTATTTTATCACTAATTTATTTTATTCTCATCCTATCTCTTACTTTTGCCTTATGAGTGTTGATGTTAAAATAGTCAACCAATCATATTTTCCCTGTAAAGTTTATCCTCTAGCACAGGGGTCCTCAAACTTTTTAAACAGGTGGCCAGTTCACTGTCCCTCAGACCGTTGGAGGGCCAGACTATAGTTTAAAAAAAAAACTATGAACAAATTCCTATGCACACTGCACATATCTTATTTTGAAGTAAAAAAACAAAACGGGAACAAATACAATATTTGTATTTGCATGTGGCCCGCAGGCCGTAGTTTGAGGACCCCTGCTCTAACACATAAGGGGGTCTTATTTGTCTTGCTTAAGAAATGTTTGACCTGAATTCAGCTGCTCATTATGAAGACTATAACCTCTCCTTTCCTTTTGTTTGTAGTATCTGAAATACTTTGTCATCTTCAACTGTCCCCAGTCACTTTGTGTTTTGTTTTGTTTTTTTATATAATTTTATTTATTTCAGAAAGGAAGGGAGAGGGAGAAAGAGATAGGAACATCAACAATGAATGAGAATCACTGATCGGCTGCCTCCTGCACACCCCACACTGGGGATCAAACCTGCAACCTGGGCATGTGCCCTCACCAGGAATTGAACCATGACCTCCTGATTCATAGGTCGATGCTCAACCACGGAGCCATGCCAGCTGGGCCCCAATCACTTTGTTTTAACAGTTTGAACTTAAAGATCGATTCTGTTTGTTATGTATTCTGGGAGATTCCCTGCCCCTGCTCATTTTTCTTGTCTTTATCTCCATAGTAACTAAATCTTTCTTGAACGACCTGTTTTTGCAAGAGATTCACATGTGGAAGGACAACTGCTGGGATTGTCTTTGTGTTTCAAAGATACAGGATTTGGGTTGTGAGTTTATTTAGACTTTATTTTTCCTCAAATAATGAAACTCAGCTATAAGGTACTTTACAGAACAATCTGTCTGTGTCCAGAATGCCTCAGAGAAAGAGAAAGCCTCCTATAAGTAAGAATCCTGTGTGATTCAAGGTATATCCTCATTTCCTCTGCTTCTCAGAGCAACATCAAGTCCGGCATCTCCTTTGCCAACATACACATCCATGCAAAGACAAGGGATTTGGAGGTGTGAGTATTAAGGCATATCCCACATGTTCAGGAAGAGTGTTTGCTGGCTGCGCTCTGCAGTCACTGTATCCTCCCTCCACTGGTTCCAAAATGCACATTTGCTCATTCTCTTCACTGGCTTTAGCAGACCTTTAGCTGTCAACAATTTTTATTTGTTTGTTGTTTGTTGTTAGTTTGTTTTAAATCCTCATTCGAGTATATTTTTTCCACTGATTTTCAGATAGAGTGGATGGGGAATCAAACCTGCAGCCCTTTGGTCCATGG